TGTAAGAGAAGCTCCTTGTTGGGAACGTCGCCGCCCCCCCCCCCCGCCCCCCACTGTGAGTAAGATTGTCTGCTCACAGTTCCAATGATGATCAGAATCATATTTCTGGGGTTGGCAAAGGGCAATAGGGTACTTTATATAAACCCTCATTCATAATTCTGAGTGTAAGCTGCCCAGTTTCAAAGTACCTGAAATAAACATTTTTCCATTTAGTACACCCATTCTCATTTAAACTGATATGCTGACCTTTGGAGGTAGTCTAGCTAGTGGTGTGAGACATAGTGGCCTACATTAAGTCACTCTGGTTTTAGAAAACAGAATATGAAGTGTGCTCCTGGTACAGAATAAAGAGAGGAGTATCTCTTTAATTATGAGAAAGCTAGATATGGTATTGTGTCTTTTCATTAATTGTTTTCGATTAAACAGCCAGAAGATACTTATGAGTGAGAGTGGCAGTGGGTATGATTTGCATAAACAGCAGTTCTCATTTGTATAATGTGCAAACTATGCCACTCAAAGGTATGAGGTTTCCAAAGGGGAATCCAAACCAACTGGATAAGAAGCTTCTGAGTTTTTCACCACCGCCCACCAAAGCTCAGAATGCTGAGAATGTGTTGTCTGGCATTTGAGATACAATCAGAAAAGGCGTGTGTGTATGTGGTGCGGGGAGGAACAAACCATTGAGACGGAGAAGTTATTCTGAGCATTCCCTGCCCGTTGGGAGACTGGCCCAGCCATACCTCCCACCTTCCAAATGCAATGGCCATCAACAGACGCCTTGTGCTTGGAGAGACTGCTTTGCCACAGCTGAGCACCTTGAAAGAGCTGAGGTCTGCGCTGGTCTTCTCCTGGGTCTGCTAAAGGGACACTGCTGGCTTGGGGGTTAGATGGGCTGGTGGACACATGGGCTGCTGCTTTGGCCTCCCTTTACAGAGGAAATTTTCAGTGTGGTCAACAGGTGAGCTGCCTACAACCCCACTCTTAGCAAAGCATGATAACTTCCTGCCTTTTTGTTTGCTTCTCAGTCTTTTGTGACAGCTCTTCATGAGTAGCTGGCAATGCGACAGAAAAAATGAATCTAACCCACTCTCTTTTTCCCATTGTTTCCTGCCTTGTTATCAGCAGCTAATGGGTTGAGGGGCCTGGAAACACCGCCATAAACAGGAAAGACGATTTGTGTCATTTATGGCCGTGGAGCCAAATGTTTATGGCTTCCCTCGTGGAAAATAGGTTGCATTTCTCACTTCTATCTTTCCTGCTTCCATGCTTCAATGGAGGTACTTGATAATGATATATATATGTGTGTATGTATGTATGTGTGTATATGTGTATGCATGTGTGTGCGCGTGTGTGTTTTAATACATATATGACTAAGAACTCACAAGTGGAAGAAATTGGATTTGTTGCATTGTATCAATGAGGTGCCCCAGAGCCAATGTGTATGCAATTGTTTTTCTGTCCTTTCTGGCTTTCTGGGCATGAGTCACACATTTGTAAATCTCTTATTATGCCTTCCCTTTTTATTCATGTTGAATATGCTTTTCTCTTGATTTTTTGCATCTCCTCCCCAGTTTTGTAATATCCCTTTTAAATGAGACATTCCAACCCTCACACAGAATGCTGTAGGGCTGGGACTCATGCTATAGATTTACAAAACGGCAACTGATTTTCTATTTTCATAGCTGCAGCACAATCATACTGCTGCTATTCTGCTGACAGAGAAAGTCCCAAATCCCTTTACATAATTTCTTTCCAACTTTCTGCAAGACTAGCTAGAATAAAATGTTATAACAGTAGTATTGTACTGGGACTTTATCAGCAGAATAACTCTTCGAAACCAGGACAAAATGGGACCAAATTTGGTGTGGGGAAGTGGGGGGGGGGGGGGAGGAGAACGAGCATGGGCCAGATCATTAGGGGCTGCAGAGGAAAAAAAATGCCTCCAATGCATACCTATGGGAGAAGCAGTTGTGTAGCGGCTTTGAATGTAACTGACTCTTTCACGCCAAGCCTCTTCCCTTCTCACTCCCAGTCACGTGACCCAGAGTGAAGCTATTACAAGGGGTTGGAAAGAATTCTAGAAGCCCTATTCTGCAAGCTTTCCCTACCTTGTTGTTTAATAAAGCTGGTCTTGATGACCTGAGAAAATCTTGAGCAGTGATTTTTATCCTAGCCATAATAGTAGCTGTGAATGAGAATAATCCATTAACAATTCATATTAACCAACAGGAACAACATTGGCTTTGCTAGGCTTATCTAATAGTTTCTGCACTGGGAGGAACAGGGACTTTAAATAAGAGTTATTAATCTGTGATTTTAAATGAAATCCAAATAGAAGTACAATTCTTTGAATTCTGTCTTTTATTTCACTCAAAGCAATGAGGGAGTGTTGAATTACATTATTGTTCCAATTATGACAAGTTCACAAATGCATAGTCATAATTATGCTGCCTTTTTATTGTGCAGTCTAGTTTGCAGCAGTTTGACAGCAACATCTGCATTTCTGGGAAATGTAGTAGAACTCTGACAAAGTTCCTTCCCATGCTTGCAATGCCGTAGTTTTTAGAAGCGTGGTTGAAATTAAGCTATGGTGGGAACCCTTTTGTATGTTACTCAGATTTTTCTATTATCTGAGCAATGCAGCCAAGAGCCGTAGCGCTGTAGCTCCTGAACTGAAAAGGTCATTTTGTCAGGGTCTGTAGTAGTAGTTTGTACTTAGCAGGAGCCATCTCTTCAAACACTAAATGCAGAAATTCTGTATTACTTTGAATGCTGGATTTTTTCCATAGATCATGGATAATCCATTCTGTTATTTTCCAGATCTTTTGGGCTGCAATTTTTATAAATTACAATCAGTATGACCAGGGATGAAGGATTAGAGGAACAGCAACTGGCAACATCTAATTGACCTTAGTGATTGCATAAATTAAGCAGAGTTAGTACTTAGATTGGGGGTTACCTGGGTATTCCAGGGATATTGCCTGGATCAAGTAGTTTAAAAAATACCCTGGAAGAAGGCAGTGGGAAATTAGTTCCATAACTTCAGGGAAAAAAATGCTTGGGTACAATCATAAGAAACGAAGCTTGACTCAAGGGCATCTCTAGATACAGTGAAAACTATCTGGAGCGTACAGGTTGCCCACTCTTTCCAGGGAATACACACTTTTGTTGTTGTTGTTGTTGTTGTTCAGTCGTTAAGTCGTGTCCGACTCTTCGTGACCCC